TAATTATTTATTTATTTATTTATTTTTGTTTTTTTGTTTCTAAATTACACTTGTAGCTTCAAAATCATAATTCCAAAGTCTCAAAGTATTTTTTTTTTTGAAATCATAACGTTTTTCCTAAACTTTAGTAAACGTATTATAATTAAGCTATACTGCCTCTATCTTTATGATTTTCTTGTTCTCCAAGACCCTATATAAATGTCGCATTCCAGTCAATTTTCATAATTCCTAATCAACTTTAAGTTCTGGCTTAATGCTCCATTGCCTACAACATGTTTACCAGATGAGCTTGACCTTCTTTCCCACTCGCATAATCTTCGTGGTGTTCGGTAGCGCAGAAGACAAAGCCCTTGACTTATATACAAGATATGGATCTGGGCGCCCCTTGGGGCACAACACTAATTGGATGCACACACTCAGTCACACACATATGCATGTCTGCGTGTGTGTGTGTGTGATGAGATCTCGCAGTTTTATCCAATTTGATTCCAATTGTCAACGATTCAGCGATCGCCCAGATGCCATTAGATGCCTACAAGGGGCCAGGAGGCACGTCTTCTGGCCAGAAAAGTTCTCAATCTGCCCGCGTCTCCTGCTGCTCGAGTGTTGCCATAAATCGTGCCAGCACCAAAATGAAAATAGCGCATTTCCAAAATATTTTCATTTAAAAATCGAAAATGAAAATGCTGTTAAAAAGAAAATAAAAGCAAAAATACAAATATATATATATATTTGTATTTGTGTATATATTTATATTTGTATTTTGTGAGAGGGCTGAAATAACAGGGGCCACGCGAAAAGGCAGGCGGCATCAACATTCATCAATCTGTCAGTGGGGCCTGTCAGCTGGTTTAAGCACCCACAAAGTGCTGTTGAGGCAACAACAACAACAACAGCAACAATAAGAACAAGAACAACTGAGGCTCAATAAAAACTGAAAAACAGATGAGAGGGCAAAAAAGAAAACATTGAAATATTTCCATGTGCCTAAAAAACAGCGAGAAGATGAAAAAGAGCAGCACAAAGACGAAGCTTGAAAACCTAAGACATTTTATTATATTTTAGATAATATTTATGCCCATTCCCTCAAATGCAATGAGTATATTGGCTTTGTGCATTGTCTATCTTGCTGTTGGTCCGTCTGAAGGAAATTTCCCGATCCGCCCACTATGGGCGTGACAAACCGAGAAATGCAGTTCTACTATATAAATAGGCACAACTGGAAGTTATTATGATATGGAAAAGAACAATTAAATTTTACTAGCATAATACGGAGATTGCTTGATAAATACTATAAATATACTAATAAGATAATTCATTTTCCCTATGATTAATTTGCCTTTGCTTGGGTTGTCTAGTATATTAGGCGAATTAGGTAAGCCCTTAGATGAACTAGTTGTTCGAATGCTATAATTAGGTTTAGGTTTACAATATATTAAAAAGCCTATAATTACACGTAGCCCATAATGAAATAGAGTTGAGTATTATCACTGTGTTCTCTGGTCAGTGGCATTATTTTAGTTCTCATAGCTTAGGTGTAAAGGCTTGGAATTGTTTGACTAAAGGAATACGAAGAAGATACCCATTAATCAGAGTCTAGCATATTCCAAGCCCATATATAATATGCATCAGCCAAAGCCCATATACATATAATATTCATCAGCTATTGTCTCCACACATGCCTGAACCTTATCATAAATCATAAATATGCACACTTTACGATCTCCTCACAGATCTCCTACAAAATGCATATAAAATATCTGTCTGCCCTCAGCTTGCCTAGCTCCTCTTTGGGCCATAAAAACACACGAGCGCGAACACGAACGCAAGGCAAAGCAAAACTTTTTACTTCTATGCGGCGCATCAAGACACGCGCAAAACGTGCGCCAATCAATTGGCCCTCATAAGAAAAGGCCACGAAAATAAAAAATAAAAAAAAAATAAAAAAAAAGCGTGTGAAACTGTTCGACTCCCACGGCTGAGACAAATTAATGAAAAGGCGACGAGCGCTGTCT